TTTTAGGTATGTTCACGATCTAGAGGTTCTGAATACCACAATATGTATCTATCATTTAAGTTATTTCTTTAAATACAAAATTAAAAGAACAAGTTATAAATAATTTCGATGACCGTGAATAATTTGAAATGTTTTAAAATAGACTGAAGGTTAGTTATTTTCGAAATTTTAAATCTAAAATAGTTTTATGATCCCTTATTAGAACCCCAGTTAAACAGTATGAATGGTTGTTGACATATACATATAGTCATTCTTTGCACAAAATTATCAACTTAACTCAAGTTGGTGAATATTGAAATTAAATAAGTCAAATACGAAAATAGATATTTGAATACATATATTTTGATCTAGACAGACAATCAGAGGAATGAACCGCGGTGGAGAAGGCATGTGAGCCAACTCCATTTAATTAAGCATTAATCGATATTTATAGTCATACAAAAATAAGTTGCAAACATGTGATGAATAGGATAAGAAGTGTACACATATACAGTCATATAAAAACAGTCAAGATTGATAAGTGAATAATTAACAAGGTCAAAACGTAACTCAAGAAGAATGGATAAATTGGCCTGTCCAGAAAATAGAATAAGTTATATGGAATTAACAAAGTAACTGACACTATAATGGACTTCAAACATTTTGTTTTACATGTGTTCACTTAATAAACACTTGATGATATAACAATACTAGTTGTTTGAATGTTTTAACTAATGTTATCTAGATGTTTTTATTGAGATTGAAGTTTAATTCACTCACAAAGTAGATCTATTGAATTGTTTTTATTGAGATCATGTCAGAATATAAGTATCAACTGACATACGTTATAAAATAGGGCTGCATGATATCTGTTCATGAGACTAAAATTTATATTTTTATTAACATAGTAATTTGAAAAAAACATTCGGTGATTAGTTTGTATCTAGTCCATTTAGAATTTTCCGTATCTGTCAGAATTTGGACAATAAGCTTAGAAAACTAATTCCTAATAAAAAAAAGAGTTGTGAAGTAACTCTTATTATGGTGAAGAAAATTTACAGCTCAAGTGGATGATATAGATAGAGTTTTGTTCTCTCAGCTGAATGGTTTGTGGACCAGTGTTAATTCTTTTTATTAATAATAGCCTATAACTTTGAAATAAGACTATCAGATATCAGAATGTGTTTATAGTGTACAGAATGAAAAAAGAAATATGTTGAGATTTTAAGTTTCTTGAAATGATCTTTTATTATTTGCTAAACTAATTGACATTACTTAGTAATAATCATTTAGTTTAGAAAATCTATTTATAGTTTATAACATGAAAATATCGCTATGGTAAGTAAAGTTGACTTTCTTGAATACACTTCTGATAAAATTCTAAATAATAAATACACATAATTATCTAATGTTTATCATATATAGTTATACAGTGTTATACCAGACTACAAGTATCTCAAAAATAAATATGACAGATGATTCCCATTTAAACATTAAAAATTAAAAACATGAAGTTCAGCGATGGGATCTCTTTTTAATGAATAAACATGATACTTAGTCTCAAATATATGTTGAACATCCATGTAACAACTGAAAGTCTCTTAAAATACTACCAAAAAAAGAATTTATGGAGATAAAAATATTTCAATAAATTGTTTTAAAACAACAAATAATTTCATTCAACTTTTTCACACAAAAAGGTACTATTTCTCAATTTCTACTATTCTAAACATATATTACTGTTGAGATCATGAGTCAGTTGAGGTTAGACCACCATGGAAAACTTGAAAGCACTGGATGGCCATGTCGCTCAATTTCGTGGATTAGTTGAAGTTAAACATTAACACCGTTGAATGCCGGTCAACTCAGTGGTCTAGTGGTTAAGCGCTCGCACGCGAGACTGATAGGTCCTGGATTCGAATCTCGCGAGGCAAGATCGTGGATACGCCCTGCTGAGGAATCCCACAATAGGAGGAAACGGCCGACCAGTGCTTTCAGGTTTTCCATAGTGGTTTAGGTTAAACTGACTCATGATCTCATCCATTGAAATTACTATAATATCCATAAAACCCCTTCTGAGACATTTTTTGTGTATGGAATACGAATAAATGATAGAAATGATTGCCACTTTTTTTCCTCTCTCTTCATAATACACCAGAAAAAAAACGTTTAGAACTAACTAATATGATTAATTAGATACGAAGTATAACAACTTCATCTATTTATCATGGCGTCAATTAAATATTCTTGAGAAAGAAGAAAGATATATTATTACTTTATTAAAAATCTATGGTAGACATGTTCTTTTTTACAAAAAAATAGAAACTAATTAATTTGATTATAATCAAAATATAGAATTAATATTTTCACATGACTGATTAAAAATGTATTTATTTACTGATTTTATTGACTGAATATTAAAAAAAAAACAAAAAAATTATTTTGATAAATGACCAAATTTATTTACTTTAACTTAGTTACTGAACTTTATGATAAACATAATCAACAATGGAATTAATATCTAAAACCAGATCATTCAATTTCTAAATTAGCGCATAAAAATTATTGAATTGAGTTAAATAAATTATAAAAAAAAGTTGTGCGTTGATATAAGTTTGTTTGTTTGTTTTGATTTGCTTTTTTCTTTTTCTAACAGCAGGGAATTTGAGAGAAAATTCAATTATGGTAAAATATGTTAATGAAAGTTAATAAACTTGATTTGAATACTTGATTACATAGTTATAATTGGAAAAATAACTCATTTCTATTATTGTAAAAGTATTATTTTGATTATCAGTTTAGGGGTTGTGGAGAATGTTAAGATTTTGATCGAGATCATTAACCGATTGATATTAGATCACAACTGAAAATCTGGAAGCACTGGACGGCAATTTCGTCCTATTGTGGGACACTTCAGCAGTGCGCATCCACGATCCCGCTCGCGGGATTCAAACCCAGTGCCTTCAGTCTCGCGAGCGAACGCTTAACCTACTGAACCACTGAGCAGGCATTTAACGGTGTTAGTGTCTAACCTCAACCAATCCACGAAATTACGTGACCATCTTCCAATGTACTGGGGTAGACATCTGTTTCTACCTGACACGGATTGACCCCACTGGAAATGATACGCAATTTAGTGTAATGAATAAGCTAAACACTTATAGTGAACAAGTAATTATCACTTGATCGTATAATAAATCTGTTAACATTCAACTGATATTAAAGCAATGTAAACCACTTTCACAATTGAAGTGATAATCAGTCATATCTAATTAATTTGAAGCTTCATAATGTGAAGATAAAATCAAACTGGGACATGTAATGTATCCGTATAACGTCTTCTGAATAGCCTCATAGAATATTTTGTTTAGCAAAATGTGTATATTTTAACTACAAACTGTTGATTAGATCTGTAAATAAAATCATAAAAGAAAGAATATCGTGTGAAGAGCAGCTCTTGTTATTAGATGTAAAGTTTGTATTATTAAGGTAGGTTTATATTGTATGCTGAAGCTTGGTATTACTGTTATGCACAAGTGTATTTGATACTTTTCACTGATTCTACAGCTGTAGCAATTTCGTAACGAAAGCAGTTATTATATTGAACACGTTTTTCACATATCACCTTAATAACTTATAATCTGAAATAATAATGAAATTAATCATACCCAAAATGAATGGCCGTATATGAAATAGCTTTAGTGACCATCATTTATTATTATCTAAGGATGAAGCAGGTTGTTATTGAGTTTTCAAAGCCTCTAAGAATTTTTAGTAAATTTTTGTAATTAGCTATGTTAATGAAATTCAGGGATTGATGTGTCGTTCATATTCAACTACTTATCAATGTCATATTGATTAAAATATTTAAGAAAATTAAATGTTCTAATCAAAGCAAATAATAATCAATAATCCATTACGTCTATTGGTTTATTGATGAAAACAATCTCCATTGAAACTCCCAACCTTTACTTATTAATTTTATTCATATTACCATAGTATACTTTTCAATAGCCATATCTGAGATAGATCTTTGACTCATTTGTTGGAAATAAACCAATACAATATATAACGCCGACATTTTTATATCTGATCTCATTGTGACCACGTCTCAATCCGGTTGAATATTGCCGTATTTTGAAATCGATCTGAATTTAAAGATCCATAAATCTGTACTTGATAGTTTTCGATAAGATTCAGTGTAAACTGCTATAGCCAGTTTATTTAAATTTTGACATTTTTAATTTTTCTCTAATTAAAATAAATAAAAATCTAATTAATTAGGCATTTGTAGTAAACATCATAAACGACTGACAGTATGATTCTTGTCACATGTAATTATAAAACAATTGTGGAAAATATACAGCACTTTGTATTAGTTTATTTCAACTTTGGGACACCTGAAAAATTTACCACCAGGACCACGTACGAAACTTAAAATGATAGAATACTAGCCTGCTGAAACACTAAATAATATCAATTTGTACCGGGTGGCTTTTGTACTAACTTTCAAATATATAAAGTTCAGTTGCGCCGATCGAGTTCTCTTTGTCTTAAATCGGACTATTCCATGAGTTATGAATTAAAAAATCAATTCGAATACTCTTAATTAGCACAGATTGATAGTCAAGTGAGTGGTTTTGTGGAAAGTTTTTCATTCTTCTAAGTCGACACTTTAATAAAAACAACAACTCAGCAAACTCGCCAATTCGTTGGAAGACGGATATGTCCTATAAGCTGTAAGTGATGCAAGTTTATAAACACCAGTATAATCTTGTGAATCCGTTCCAAAATTCCGTCAGACATCAGACCATCAGGATTGATGAGATTCCTATGATTGCTGAGGAGACCAATCCATCCAACTTTTTTACTTCCTATCATTAATTCAGACTATGACGCAAGTTAATCCTGAAGCAACATTTTGCATTTCAAAAGAGAGAGAATCGCATCACAAAACATGCTTGTATCTTTCTATTGTCCTTACTGTTCGTGTAATAATTAAACATTGTTTTCATTTTTAGCTTGGTTATTGATGACCTTCTGGAATCAAACCTGAAGAAAATGCAGTTAAGAGGCATACATCTGGTTTATGGCGCTTATAGTCAGTAAGTTTGCTATCAACTGTTGTGATATTGTGATATCTCGGATAATTTACGTTTCACAGTCGATGTTAAATTTACTGGGAACATTTCATGAGTTCTCGTATCTGAGTAGTTAAATGTTTCAAAAAATGCTGTGTTAATTAAGACCATCATCAGGGTCTCCGATACAGACAAGTACTCTGTAAATTTGTGACTCAGGATGTCTGATATGTAACAATATTCAGAGGCATTCCATCTTCAGTTGTTGCTGAATCAGAAAAATGTCTTACATTCAATGATATTGACTTTTCTGGTTAAAATCAAATTCGAAGCCCTATTATCTTACCACTATTTCAATACAATAATTTCTATAACTCTCGTAAATTTGAAATTCATCAAAGTTTTATAAAATTTTGACAATAACCTTATATTAATAGTTGAGATCATGAGTCAATTGAAGCTAGAGCACTATGGAAAACATGGAAGCACTGGACGGCCGTTTTGTTCTACAAATTATGTTCTGTAAAGATTAAGATATTTTTTGCGGGAACTTCTAGGGGTTTTACACTATAAAATACTTATCATACTGTTCAGGTAGTTTAAATCGCAATTACTGAAAATTATCAAATTTAAAGGTCCTCAATTCATTTGAAAATTTGAAATATTTCTTACCTACGGTAATTGTTTTTTTTATAAATTGAGTAAGCACACTTACTATATTCTTGTTGGCCAATCAACAGTGTTTATTTATTTATTTATTTCAATTATCAATGGATGACGTATTGTACTAGTTGTACTACATATATACACTGATTAGTATCCATATTAAGAACAAATTAAATCTTAAGATTTCACTGATTGGTTATTTCGTACAAAACTATTATCGTTGTATTATTATACTTGATGCCAAAAAAGTAACCTTGAGAATAAAAGTATGGCCTTGGACATTTATTAATAGTTAATGTTGTAGGGAATACTTTTCTAATCAGAGAAACAAACTTTAATATAGTCATAATCATATATTGTTTTGACATTACAAATATTGACTAACTGTGTTCATTGTTATCATGAGATAAAGATATGGTAACTCGTGTGATTTCAACATAATCTATCTAGCTACCCACGTGTTGTTGAGTAAAAGAAGCACAACAGTGAAGTTTATTTCAATTTATCACATGAATATCTAAACATTGAATTGAAATAAAACAATCAAGTAGTCTGTAATCATTAGAAAAGGATAAATAGTGAAATTTGGTCTACATGTGAACTACATCATATCCTCCGTGATGAATTTCAAATATCCAAGTAGAAAATGTTTGTTTTCAAATAATTTTATTATGTTCACTCATCTTATTTCCAAAATTATCAAAGAAAAGATTAATGTTTGACTGCTGAATTAACCATCTTTTAATTGATAAAGACATATATTATTAGAATATATCTTATAGGCAAATTTATTATTTAAATTATTGTAAACGGTAATAAACATAGCAAAATACCTGAATATTATTTCATTCGTGGAACTATTTTGATCAGTAAACATTTTCGTAAAAATAAACAAGAAATTATATCCATTTACATTGAAATCTTGAAATCGAGATCTCCATTCAGAAGTATCCATTTGCTGGTAAGTTTCACTTATTTGATCGTACATAGTGAACAGTATTCATTCTTTTTTTCAATTTAATTTCATATGATGAAATATTTCCCAGTGTTCAGTTAAGCTTTTTAATTATGGTTAATATTATAATTGTGCTTAAACATAAACTCATAATTATATCTCTGTTGTGAGTGTTAATTGTTGATCTACTTCATATTACGTACGTATTTGTAAATAAAACCGAATAGTGAACAGTCAGACGTCTAAGTAACTCAATATTCCACACTGTATTAAATTAATGTTCGGTGAATCTATTATCATACTTTTTCCTCCTCATGTTTTAATAATTTTATCCATTAAATTGTAATCTACTCATTTCATTATTTGAGTTAATTCATTCTGAAACAAGTTCATTAGTTCTTCAGCTTAAAAAATTATCAGTTATAAACGTTATTCAGAAAATTCTTTGAAGAAGTGGCTTACACTAAGTCATGAAACGTCGGAAAATCTAATATTTCTACTTATTGGGATATTACAAATATATTATTTATTTATAGACTACCAGATAGTTTTTTATACAACAATTTACTACTGTTTCCTGCATTCAGTGTATAGTAGATAAAGCAGGTTTTTCATAATCACTTTAGTAATGAGTTGGGCCACTTTTTTCACATTTTGATGCCTTTCTCTTGTAATCAAGTAAATATCAAATTGTTACAAACAAATTTTATATTGGCTATCAAAATTTCTAAATGATGAAATATGCCATATTCATCGTTTATTGATTAGAAATAATAATCGTTGTAAAAAAACACAACAACAACAACAATATATTCATGAATAGATACATAATAATCATTTTATGATCAGTAAAACAACAGTCTACTCTAATTTCTAAAATTAAATGTCAATCTACTGCTCTGTTACAAGTTTTTCATTTAGAGAGTTTTTAAGTCTAGTGTAGGAATTTTGAAGTGGACACAAAAATCCTTTGAGGATATATGTATGTATTGATTCAACGACAAAGTAGAAATCTATTTCAAACACTTCAGATGTAACAGAAGTCCATTAGAAAATATCCATATTTGTAATGTAGTATTTATCTATTCAACTTATAATCATACAGTTTATGTAAATAATGAATTAGTACAATCTATCATATATTCAGCCATCGGAAATATTACAGATCTGTTAATTATTTCAAATGATTGTTAATTTAGGTTTCATATCATTTGTATATCGATAAAACTTATTTGGTGATACAAATCTGAAACGAAAAAAATCGTTTACTTTTATGATAGGTTAACAACTAGTCAATTAATTTAATGACCAAAAATAGCTTAGAAACACAAATAATCGCTGAAAATTCCCATTATATTAAAACACAGTTGTATGAATGAAGAATATTCTTTTCAATAATTTCTCATCAGATTTTACAGTTATCATATCCAAATTAGTAATCCATAAAATTGGCCAGATTTAAGGCAGAGTACATCATTTGGAAATTGTAATATGTGAATTAAGAATTGTTGTTTGTTACATAAAATCAATTCAGATCGTCAATGTTGGGGCTGACTAATATGAAGTATTAACTTGAATCATTTCACAAATGAAATGAAATTGAGATAAATGATCTGAATGAATATGGTCATCATGCAGTGAGAGAGAGAGAATGATGGAATAAAAATCAAATTACGTAATATGTAGAATAATATGAATTAGGTCATATATAGTAGGTAAGGATGGATGCTGAATAAATTTCTCAAAACGATTATCAAGTGTAATAATAATAATAACAATGATAAAGATAATAATAATAATGGTAATAATAATGATGATATAATATAATGATATAATATAATGATGACATAAAAATGAAAATTAATCAAATCACGTCACCATATTATAAAATTGATTATTAACTAGTTGTCCCCAAAGTTGGCCAGGGTAAAAGCAGCAGCTGAACATATTTCTTTTGGATGCAAGGTTCTGGCTTTTTGATTCGAATAGTAATTGCTTCAGCCGTCTGCAAGATTCTCAGTCTGACGGAATTCGGTAGATTTCTGTTAGCACGATATATTATTGTGAAAGATCGCTTCACGTTGGCTGAACACATGTTGACTGAATTAAAGTTTTTGTTAAAAAGGTTTATTTTGAGCTATTCTTATCGTATAAAGAAATATTCTGTCAACTGAAAATGTCAAAAATATTTCACTGGAATATTTGATTTCCAAAAAATATATACTATTAATTAACTATTCAAGCATTTAAAAGTAATTATACCATAGATAAAAGATATCATAGTAATATCCTATTAATTTAATTCTCTATTCTATCTCCACTAAGATATAAGAATATTAACATATTTTTAATTATTATCATTTAGGATATACAAATAGTTGTGTTAAAATGTATTACCGATATAATCTCTAAAACTAATTATATATGCTCCTGTGAATTTGTTTTTATTCAAATAATTGGAGCAATACAATTACTTTGACATTTTTATGGGATATACTTATTTCAATGCAAGTGATTAGGTATATTAGCGTCATTACACAAAAAGCATTATTAAAATTATTTAAACATATACAACTTAATAGTTGAGATCACGAGTCAATTGAAACTAGGCCACCACTGAAAACCTGGAAACACTGGACGGCCATTCTGTCCTGTCGTGGGACTCTTCAGCAGTGCGCATGCATGATCCCGCTTTGCGAGATTCGAACCCAGAGCTTATTTATCTCGCCCGTGAGCACTTAACCACTAGACCACTGAGCAGGCATCCAACGGTGTTAATGTCTAACTTGAACTAATCCACGAAATTGAGCGACATATTCGCCATTGTCATCAGTGAGTTAATATCTCACAACTGACCCGGTTGAACTCCACTGGTCACTGCTTCTCACTAGAACTCTAGGATATATATCTTGAAGCCAGTCACTAGTGAGCATATGTTGATTAGTGTCTCCACAAACCCCCTTCTGATATACAACTTATTTACCTTATTTACCTCATTTTTATTATATTGTTACTAAGTTTAAAATAATTTTGTACGATATTATGTAAATTTTATTATTATAATTAACTTTCAATAAATATAGAAATATCATTTCATTTTTAACTTAGTTTTCAATTAACTATATATTTTAGTTATTCTGTTGTATATGTCTATTATATTTACCTAAATGTTGCCGACTATTTATTGAAATCATCAAATGAAATTATATAACTGTAAAATGTCCTTTGATAATTTAACTTAATAATTAAATCATATCATTATTTATTATTATAGTTTAAAACAAAAATCATTACAATAACAATATTATGTCTCAGATAAAAGTGTATTTTGTATGAAATATAAACACAAATACAAGTTGAAGTGATTTAATTATTTATTGTATATTATTTCCTTGATCCACTA